ACAAAGAATATTAAATGTGTATTTTCTTTGTAGTCAGATTTTAGGCAGATCCCAGAAAAAGGTAAACAGGTATTGACACTGGTCTTGGCAGTAAATGTAGCATGACAAATATTTGAATTGCTACAGTGATTTTGAAAAGATGTAACACGACTACAGCAGAACTCAACAAATAGGTTTATCTTTGTTTATAGCTCTTAAATATATCTTATCAAGAGAGACTTCTGCTTTCCAAACACAGTCAAATCTCTCTTTCCTCTCGGGTCCGAGGAGACATGCAAAGCAGCCCTGTGGTCTCCCGATGACTGTCCCGTGTTTGAAGTTTATCTAACTACCATATGTATTTGTTTTCCCTCACAGAGTAAATGATGATTCTCTCTGTCCACTTATCATTGCCCCCCCTCCAAAGTGCACATGTTATTTATTATGAAACGACACCTCACTGTCTAGAGAGCCTACAGTAGTGGGCATGATTCATGTGCGTAGACTGTGAGACACAGGAAGGACATTAAAAATCCTATCAACGTTGTGTCGCAGTTGGTGGACCACGAGGAGGAAACAGGATAGCCAGCAAAATGTTTTATGGTCAAGCCCTCGTCACTAATGGGGAGTCCAGATCGAAACAGCAGGATCCAACTTTTATCCAAACTGAAATCTAATCGCGATTTGGTGAGTAATCCAAATATTTCCGTCTTGGATCTGGTCACCGATTCTGGGATGTGGACAAACATTAAATGAAAAAAAAAAATCATCACTGAAGATTTTAGGAATCACATCATCGTCTGATGTCTGTGTAAATTCAACCTAAAATTAAAACATTACCAACCATTTGTTAACTGGTGATCCTAATCCCAGTGGTCGTAATCCTAAAACCATATGATCACACACAGCATATTATTTATTCAAGCAGGGAGACTCCTCCAACCTGACCATCGACAATTTGTTTTCATTTAACAGGTGGGCTACATCCTGGACAAGGTCATCAGTCTGTCACCAGGTCATTAGTCTAGTCCCATAGAGACCCATTCATACAACCATTCACACTAGCATTCACACCTACAAGCAATTCAAAGTGTCTAACGACCTAATCTTCAGGGGAGAAACCCCAGACACACATGGGGAAAACATGGAAAGACAATGATGTTAGTCATCATTACTGATGAAAAGACTTTCTCTGAAAGCATTTATCAAACACAGAGACATTTCCCACAGCTTCACTCATGGTAAATACTTAATCAAATTTTTCAGAGAACCTAGGTTATGTCATTTATAGAGGTAACGCAGCATTGCATGTGAAATAAAAGCTAACATGTGGATCAAAGGTCACACATTTAGAACAAAAAGAGAGAAGAATATTCGGCTGGAGTGTACATGAAGCTATGAAATGCATTAGCGAATACATTCCATGACAGACAGATGCCTGAGCTCAAATGACATCAGTTTGAGCTAAACAAACATCAAGCATGCAATGTTTATGAAACTAAATCCCCGAAAAAGCCCAGAAATTTCAGCCCGGTGATAAATTTCCTTTTTGGATTGCTTCAATTTTCAGATGCACTTAGATACATATTCTAGCTGCTTTGAAGGCTGGAGGTGAACATATGGCTCTCCCTTTCCTCCCCTCAGTTTACTGATACATACCAGGTGTTACACTTTTCATGTTGCTTTCTCAAGATGAAGGTTTCATTCCTGAAAGAAAGGGGAAAAACACATGTTGGTGTACTACACTGAAAGTTTTTTAAACAAAAAATATTGTGCTTTTCTGTGGAAGATAGGTATTTTAATTTCTTTGTCCAGACGGTAGAGGAGGTTTGTTGCGTCACATATGGCCCTCAGATGTTTCTGTTATTTATTGTTCTATTGCTAGGACAATTTATTATTGTAAATCCGCCAACTCGAAGAAACGGAAAATTGATACGAATACAAATTTTTTTCTTTTCTTTTTTTTTATCTATATCTCTGTGTGCGTAACAAACGCAAACTGTGTAGTCGAAGAAATTTACAAAACATGGCCACAAGAAAGAATGTGTTTGATAGATAATGAAAAGATAAGAGGCAAAGGAACGACATGGCTTTCATTGCCTGTCAAGCTGTTCCGATGGGTGTCTCCTTTTAGAGACGGGGTGGGTGGTCAGTATCACACACTTCACAGAAAAATGCATGGAAAATGTAGAGCAAAGAGTTGTGGTCGTGGCTGTTTTGAATTTATCACAGTGATATACTCCATAAATGTCACAGTGAACCTTTGTTGTTGTGGAAACACATTTGTCATTTGAACCTGGACTCGTGTACATCAGACGGTGTTTGGCTCCTTCAAGTGAGGTAATGCCCATTTCACCTCCAGATAAAGCTGCCAAGACAAGCTTTTGTCACGTTGATTAGTAGGCAACAATAAACACGCGGCCGGAATGAGGTATGAATCAGCAATAACAGCGTGACATCTTTATCAGCCACAAACGACTTCCACAGGTGGACTGCTTCACCAATAACAAGGCTCTTTATTTTGTTTCACCCCAACGATCCTGAACCAGATAAGTTCCGTAGTATAAATCCTCCGACAAATGCTTTCAGAGCTGCAGCAGTGTAATAACAGCAACAGCACAGCTCTCTTTTCAGAAAGAACCTCGAGAACAAATCCAGTGGATGTCAACATTCCTCTGAATACCGTGTCACTGATTTCATAATCACATTTAAACGAGTAATCAGATTAAGTATGTACAATACCAGCTTACACTATGTGTGGTCTCCCGTGGTGAGACCACCACCTAGATCCTGTTAATACTATTTTTAATTGAGGGATCAACACGGGTGATACTGTATCACTGTTGTAGTAAATGTTAGTAAAGCTGCAGTGGGCGACCTTCAACACCAGTCCAGAACACTGCTGTGGCCCACATTATAAACATAATTGTTTTTAATATAGGTGCTATAAATGAAGAACGTTCTTTATGTCAAAGTTCACTATAATTTATAGCAATAGCTTATTTTTGACCTATTTATTGGGCTGAAACACTGAATTAGCTAGCCATGGAATGTTTCGAACAATAAACATACTGCTCTCCATATTTGTTCTTTGTTTTTATTTAAATAATAATTGAAAAGCGTGGTACTGAGTATTGTTATGGTACTTTCAAGCCAATCAACCTCGTTGGATGAGCTAAATCGAAGCGTTTCTAATTAGAGAAAAGTGAGTTCAGGGAGAGGCAGGGAGGTCTGAGGAAAGGCAGCCACTGAAGGTGTGAAAGATGAGGACAGATGTTGTGTTGTCTCTGATGGTGAGGTCACTTTGATGGCTTTGACCTCATGTCCACGAGTCAGCAGGATTCTTACAGCCAACAGGTCATAAATATATGCCTGGGATCGGGAGGCAGACATTACCAACATAGTGTTGCATGACCTAATGATCTGGCAAGCTATAGACAGTGCAGTGTGTTGTTTCGCTGTGCATATATTACTGTTCATTCAAATAAAAACATTAAAAATATATAACATGTTTGATAACAACTGAGATAGATTTGTTTTCACTCAAGGCCATTCCAGGTGTCATGCCATTACTGAGTCCTTAACCCAATACCTCTGTGAAAGTGAAGGAATTACAAATTGACTAATTGGACACTTAAGGCTAATTATAAAGAAATTAGTGTTGGTCTGACCATGACCTCCATGTCTGTGTTTGATAAATCCCCAGGAGTCCTAAAGGTGAGGGGGGTAGACTGCCTACCACTGGCAGGGATGCATACTCGCATGATGATGACCGTCTAAACCACACGTCAATCACGTTGTCCTGTAAGGTTTTGGGGGGAAGTCTGCCTGACGTGAACTTTCATGTTCCTTTCAGGTGTGGACAAAATACCACGTCTCACCACGTGTCTGACTCTCAGTATTGATCGTACACTCTTCCCTGTTGTTTTGCCAAAAGAAAAAGAAAAAAGAAAAAAAGACTATATCAGTGATCACGTCCCCAAACAGGTCAGGCAATTCCAGTTGTGAAGCCACATGGAGGATTTATTAGAACCAGATGGGCTGTGCTCCCTTACAAGCTCGACCGAGTCGAAAAACACTGGGCTGGCTTCTCCCAGGCCTGCTCTGGGGAAAGGAGAGCGGCTGGTCCACCCATTTCCTTTCCTTGCCCTTCCCAGGCATGTCAGAGAGGAGCCAAGCCAAAAAAATCAGACCTGCAGTGGCTTTTGGACAGGCAAGGACTCGAACAGTGTGGTAATTACGGATGGCAAGAGGGAAGGTGTGTGGTAGGGATGGGGGGGGCTGCCAGGCGGAATCATCCCATGCCAAAGGCTTTATAAAAGCCACAAAGGAACTAGCAGAAAAATAAACAAACAGATTGCTAAAAAGCCAGCGTTTTTTTTCTCTCTCTCTGACATTCCCTTGACACCGAGTGTCGCAGCAGAATTGGCTCACGTTTGTGATGCTCTCAGATGATAAACAGTGGTCCCTCAGATCACTGTGGCTACGAGCCGGGCCGGTGATGAAGACATTAAACAGTCAGCATTACTGTGACACAATTCACTGATCCACACGTGTACCAAGAAGTCATCATTATTATTTATGTAATATTTCTAAAGGTATTTCCTCCACCAGTCATAGGTTTAAATTTACAGAAGTACTGTAAACATTCCATCTTAAATAATTCAGCCAATCAGAATCTAAACTTAACTTCAAACCACAGGACAGGTGAATTCATTTGAATGGTGACAGCAAGAAGTGACTCAATTAAAATGAATACAAATTGTAAATAAAAATAGTGAAACTTCACTTAATAAATACATATTTCTGCTGACCGCACGGTAAAGTGGTCAGAGCTCTCGCCTTACAGTCAGATCAGTGGTTCAATCCCGTGTAGTAACTGATGGGTGTTCTCTGGCTTATCTGGATTTTAATTGGGTCACCAGCTCCCCATCATCAACCTTAGCTTTGAATACGACTGTAAACGGTCAATGAGGCCGCCCTAACCTGACGACTACTTTGATTGGCTCCAGTTACTCCACGACCCTGACGAAAGATTAACAGATGATAAAGAAACAGACGACTTTAAGACAGATTCAGACATCCATAAATCAATAGATTAGAGGCATAGAGTTTCAGTTTGACGTTTTTGTATATTTTCTTTAATTGCACCAAATCATGTTCATCATAATTCCTCCTCCTAGGTGTCCGTTTAATTTAGTTTCATTAAAATGAATCGTCACTCAAATTTACGAGGCTAAAATTGGTCGTCAAAGTCGGTCTTAAGAAGCTGGATCCAGCCTTGGGACGCTAAGTCCCAGTTTTTTAGTATTCTCCCATTGGCTTCTTTGACAACATGTCAACATGAATCACAAACAATATTAGGTGCACAGAAGATGGATCTCCAGAATGATTCATTCTCTCCCATATTGGGTGCAAAGCATTGCCAGACTTTATTTGCTTGTTAAAGGCCTTGCTTATGATCCTTCACAGGGACCAGAAACGATTCAGAGATATTTCCAAACAGATGGAGAAACTTATGGGCATGGGTGGATTTCCTGAGGAGAAGCATAAAAAAAGAGCAGAAACTGGAAAAGCAGCACAGCCCTATTAAGGGGATCTGGCTTTTTCTCCTGTTTGTAGTAAAGCTGTGGAATAATATAACATTACCCAATTTTGTTTTGGGTGGCCTTGCATATCCCCCCAAGAAAATATAAACAGCTGCTGTACAGGGTATGCCCAAACATATTTCATTGCCTGAAGAGAGGTTTTCCCTTGCAGCTGCCATATTTTGCCATGACAAGAACATGTCTCTGAAGGATCATGTTAGAGAAACATTGGCCAGAGCTGCAGTTGATTTACTCTGCGCGTAAGTCAGAATGGGAGGGGCTTCTGAAAGCGAGAGGGGCTTTACTTTCCCACTAGGCACAGATTGCGAAAACAGGTAAGCATCAAGGCCAAAACCAGAGAAAACGTGCATCAGAGCTACTGTATTTTTAATGTCAAGGACGGAGGCCTGTCTGCAGTGAAAGGCCATTAAGAAAGTGAGTTTAAGACAGATAATAAAACGGGTAAAGACCTTGGAGGAGCAGCATGTTCAATGCCACGGCTAATTTCTCCACCGGGGCCTGCAGCGCATGAGGCTCAGGTTCACAAACTAAGTGCACCCTGGTGTCGTACTGTGCAGTGGCCTGGACTGGTTCCATAACATGCAGTAAAACTGTGGTTTTTGTTTTTAACAAAGACACAATTACTACTAATTTTGAGTGATAGAGTATATTCAGTAACAATCTGTACAAGTAACATGATTAAGATTTCAGTGAAGATGAATTAGATAACAGAAAATAGTACCAATTAGGTTTTCTTTTTTTTAAATTTAGTTTATTGCTATGAATTGTATAAATAAATGATTTAAACATGTAAATGTATATATTCATTTTAAAAATTCTCTCATTTTTGCACGTTTTACAAAACAACTTTTCTGCCATACACATCCCAGCTTTACAGTGGATACAGTGGCTAATATGGACCTTCTTCTGCAAAGACTCAGATTAACCGCTCTCGTTGACGTGTCAAAGTGATGAATAGTAGCTAAAAGAATTAGACACTGTGTCTATCTGATGTGACATGTCCCTCTATTTATCAAAATATTGCAAAAATTAAACAGATCATAAATTGAAAAGTAATGATATTGAAACTAAATTTGAAATTGACACATGGTACCAATATAAACACAGTTGTTGTATTAATATTACATTATATATCATATTATAAATATACCTAGCTTACATCTGATTGTGTAGTCGGTTTATGTGAGCAGTCGCTCCGCACGTCTGTAAACAAAAATACAGCCACATAGTAACACATGGCTGCTAAGATGAGGTAACACACGTTCAGCGCGGCGTCAGATTGCAGTGTATTCAGTGAACTGGGAGCTTTGTTTGGTTTGGACGGAGGAAGAGACCTGAGCTGGGTTGTAAATGAGTGGAGATCCATTTATCCATGATGGAACCACCGCTCTCCAGAAAAAGAAAACTGGAATAAAACGGCAGAAAATCCTCGTTGTAAAAATCCTCAGCCTGACTCCTTGGTCTGTTTTGACTCAAACATGCTACATGGATTAAACTGGATTTTTTTTTTTTTAAAGGCAGAAATTTCTCAACGCGAAACAGACATACGTTTCAACCCACAGTTTTATACATACAATGGAATACATAATAAGTCACTCCTTACAAATCTCCTCCCATGTTTTTGCACGAAGGTCCTACTCTCCCCCGGCCGCTCTCTACGCTCCCATGACAGCATAAGAGCAAAAAGGGAAGGTTGTCTGTCTGCACTCCTGGAGAAAACGACTTGAGGTTTTAACCATGTGCGGTTTACCATGCCATGTTTTTGGGCCTGAATTGTACCAGATTAACAAGGGAAATACAGACAAACTGGCCCAAAGGTTTGATAACAAACCAACATGTTTTGATATTACTGGTAAATACGGAATTACACTGATATCACAGTAAGTTTTTAGTCTGAGATTTCTGTCAAGTGTCATCCTTTTTCCTCCACTGCCAACATTTGCAAAGGACTTGCAGATAACTTGCATACCCCTGTTGAATGCTAAGGCATCTCACTTTCTCCAAATGCTTGGCACAAGCACTCCAGCTAGAGCAACAGTAAGCCTCTTGATGTGGTCTGCCGTTTCCTCTTAGCTGGCTTTGCTACAGCATGGGGGGTTTGAGGAGTGTGGGAAAAAACAGTGTGAAAGGAAAGAGAGGAAGTGTGTATTTATCTCTGTTGGTGGGGCATGATTTCCACTTTGATCTGTCTGCAGACCAATTTCTGGGCTGCACTGTGGGCAGCACCAGCCATGAGGTCACTGCGTCAGCCGCAGTAGGTCAAGATCATTAGGCTGCACCTGTCCAGACACAAACGCTAAAGATTCCCTGTGCACGAAGCGGCAGGTGGAGTAAAATGTGATTTGAAGTTTATCTGTGTTTGTTGTGGCTTAAATGACCGACTCAGGCTGACCGAGAAAACCCAGAAAAAACATGGCACCGGCTAGTTAGATGTCGCCACCACTAGTTATTTCCACATTAAGTATTTCATGCTGAGCACTAAACCGCAAAGGGTTTGTAATTTTCAAATAATGAGGTGTTTTCTTTACAAATGACTTGTAACTGTGTTACTAATTAAAAGAAATAACACCGTATTTACATGAAAGACTACAATATAATATTCCCATTCAGACTCAGCCAAAGGCTGCTGATCCATTAGCCATTATCTGGAACCTAATTCATTAAAGCCCAAAGCCACATGTCAGCGCCTCCACCAGTACGCAGAGTGACATAATGCAGGTATTTGTTATGTTAACATCAATGTGGCTGTAAGCTACCAAGCTACGCCCAAATATTTTGCATTTGAACTGATTTTCCATATGAGATGCCTTGCAGCAAAGTGACCTTTCACAGAGTAACAGCAGCATTTGATGCTCAATAACAACCTCACCGTGCATGTAGGCCTACTCTATATCTACAGTCAGGATTTCCAGCTGTGGGTACACCCACACCTCTCCTCCTATTCTCTGTGAGCATGGAGGAAGTCAGTCAGCAAGAGTGCAAGTGGCAAATGGTAGTAAATGGTGGCCTGGGAGCAGATTAGCTGCTTCTGTGTCTATCTGGTGCTGACAGTTCACACAGGCCTTTTTTCCACTGCTTCTGGGCGTATCAACACACTGTTTCCCTTCTCATAGCTCATTCTCCAGCCCGAGGGCTGAAACTGTGAAGGTACACTTCATGAGCGCCTCGAAAAGAAGATGAAAAAGTCGACCTACGGAGGTGAACTAACTGCTGAAACGCATTAACACATTTGGTTCTTGGTGTTTTATGGCAGTTGGCTTCTGTTGAACTACTGCCTCAGTTTTTTTCCTCCTCTGCTTCCTTTCCCTTTGCCTCTTCTTCACTTATTGTTTCTCTTATAATAACAGCACAGTGAAACGTGAGAAAAGTCTAGCTTTTTAATTCAGTACTGCCATTAAACAAATATTCATATGTCAGGTCAGAAGAAGTATGTGTTCCAGTAAACACCCACAAGGTTCCTATGCTCTCTATTAGACATACTTTAAACTAAATAGCTGTCAAAGTAAAACAGACCCAGTAGGGGGCAGTGATGCAAATAATAATAAAAAAAAAAACAATCAGATCTGCTGGTAAGGCCCAAAGAATAAAGCCTAGAGATTAGACCTTAGTGTATCTTAGTGAAGACTGGTTTATATGGAATTAAAAAATAAAATATTATTTTCCCATGCACCTGGTGGTCATGACGCAGCCAGACTGACTTTAATCTGTCCTGCCTGGTCAAGTACAGTAATTTGTTCATCTCTGAAGATATTATGGAACATTGTAGAAAAGTACAAATTAAAGTACAAACAAGACCCAACAATGACTTAAATATTTATATATATATTTATTTATATTTAAATTAATCAGCAGATTTATTAAGCACATGTGTATGAAAACACAGCTGTTAGCATCTTTTTTTTTTTTTAATATCCAAGCGTCTCTCATCAGTTTCACTGCAGCCACCCATTAGCAAACACTTCTGCTTCATTATCTTTATTAATGATGTTACTTTCCTGTCTGTCACATCACAGGCTTCCACTTGTGGCTCTAGAGATACTGCTGGTCATTAGGACAGCTCAAATTGTGGGATCCCATCTGGAGAGTCTCACATACAACAGCGTGAGGCCAAAGGGGCCATTCAGGCTCCAGCAAACTTTCAACAGTTCTGCAACCAGGTCCCTGTGTTGTGGAAGACAGGATTCAGAGAGACAGAAAGTCTGCGGGTTTTATTTCTCCATACGTATGGCCTAGAGAGTGCACAGGAAAAAGTAGTCATATTATTTGGAAAAGCCTTGAAGGGGAAAATTAATGAATATTCAGAGTGGATGTAGGGGACAGAACAGGCGCAGAGACATCATTAACAATGGAATGAGATGCTCGTCTCAGTAGACAAAGTGTTCCCAAAGCATGATGAAATTTTATGAGTTCTTCCAGCTTTTAATCATTTAGACGTATCCTATTGCAAAGCATGTTTTCCCCTCAATTCCAGTTTTTACTGATTAGCATAAACAAACGAGAAGTAAATGTTAGCATAGGGAGACATGACAGTTATGGTGGGCTGCAAAATTTCCATTTTCGGTCACGCACAACACGCAATGTCACCGCCGACGGCGAACTGGACTCTCCTCTAGATCACCCCGTCCAGACAGCTCTGCAGCGCAGGGTTCAGCACCTGACGTCACGTCCTTAAGTGGGAGTAGGGTCTTTTATAGTGAGTGGCGAGGGTGTGGTGCTCCGAGCGTGGGGACTATTAAGCTGTCACCACTCTATTTCTGTGGCGCGACTACAGTGGGATTTCTCTCACCCCCCGTGGAACTGGTAATGATGAGATCTGAGGTTAGTCGGCCACTTTGTCGTGTGTGGAGTCCAAACGCAGGATTGCACATGCAGCTACTGTGGTGCTGTGGCATGTATGGACACGTGAAGGTGTTAGCTCTGCGTGAGTCTATAGAAACCCAGGGGAACGCTCTATACTTTGCCCTCAGGGGGACGACCTACAGGGTTTAACCAGACAAGGACTCACTGACGGTAGATCTGCAGCTCTTTAATAAATCTAAATCACAGTGTTCCCCCAGAAACAATTAAAAAAGATTAAACATAATTGCTGAGTACGGCTGCATCCTAATACATGCAATCCTCCACTACACACAGTACTAGTTAGTTACTATAGCAGCAGTGTTTTTGTGTTCATCACTGTCAACTTACAGTTTTCATCTCAGTCAAATCAAGGGTTTAGTATCACGCTGTGGTCTCTGCCCCCGGAGTTATTTTATTTTAAAACAGGCTGCTGTTAACAAAACCCTTCATTTTGTCACCTGGAAGGAAACATCAGTGGAATTATGAAAATTGACGTGCGTTTACAAGAAAAGTTCCTTCCTGGTGGTTAAGAATAGGCAATGATTTAAAGTTCCAAATGATATAGCTGCGACTGCTGAGGTGCAGTTTACAGGATGGAGTTCTTAATTATGTTTCACTTACAGAAAGTCTATTGAGTTGCTGGGATTATAAAACTGTCCTGACCCTAAACTTGCGACCTTTACCATGGTTTCCTGTTTGGCATCTGTGCAGGCTTCCTATGACACAGGCAGGGAACAGGAAGATACAGTAGCACCCCCTTGTGTTTTGGCCGAGACACAAGTTAAAAGGTCAGGCAGTTTTGTAATTCATCAAACTTAACTTTGATTAATATTAACAATAAGGTTTAGATTTCTGGTTTAAATGTTGCCTTTGAGAATTTCTCACACATGCGGCGTGTGATAAATCCAGGTTGCGTAAGGGCATTCCCTTGGCATTTGTGATTTTATGTGCAGCAAAAAAGCTAAATGGCCTGTTTGGCTATTTCAAGTCTGGCCAAACACAGCCAGACACAGACTTGTTTCGGCATAATTAAAACCTGCTGCACATGTCTGAAGGATTGCTTCACTGCAATGTCTTCCACAGCTAACAGCCCCAAATGCCTGGAACTAGAGCAGTGATGTCAAAGATGTAGCCAGGGGTCTGGATCTAGTCTGCCAGGAGGTCTGTTTGGGTCCCAAGGATGTTGTTAGATCTAAGTTAAGTTAGTGAAGTTGAGTAGGAGCCAGGATGCTCTCTATGGCAGCTGCCACATGCACTGATTTATGGATGTTTCTTATCATTACATTCAATACAATATATTTATTTGCACTGACCCAGAATAAACATAAATTAAATAAAAAAGTCAATTTATTTTTACAGTTGCACATTCATAGTAAAGTAGTACTGCCAAAGCGTTTTTTCTGACTTCCTGTGTTGTAGTTTTGCCTCTTATATATATATGAATATATTTACCGTATATAATATATATTTGTTCAATAATAAATAATAAAAAGGTATTTTATGTGATATAGAATACCTACATGGATTGTTTTAAATACTATAATAGAGAGGGGGACAACGAGGGGACAACTGGTCAGTGCTCTGGCCTTACAGCAAATGAATAGACAGACAGACAGATAGATAGATAAATGATTGAAGCACATTGTAATACAAGCAGAAATAGAATTCTGCCGATTTCGTAACCACTCAGGATTTCTCAATCCAGAATTCACGGCAGCACTTATCTCACTCACCGCCTCGTGCTGTCACTGCACAGGGCACCACAGTATAATGTCTGCGAGCACTTTTCCTAACGGCAAGGAATACGCAAAGACTCAGAATAAGATCTTGTGAGGGTCAGTGTGGGGACCAAGGCCGTCTCCAAGGTCTCCTAAACTGCCTGGATCTAAACTTAAGGTCATTCCTCTACTGCTCGACCAATTACCCACGCACACAGCTCTGCGGAGTCTCAGCCAGACGTTTTGGCCCAGTCCCTGCAGGACATCCTCTTGTGGGTTTATATTGGAAATGTGGCCTGCTATTGACAGACATTTTTTCACCAACCACCGATACACGGAGAAATCGCTCTGACCATGCCAGTTACAGCGAGTGGTTGATAGGCATGAATTAGATTTGTTGACAGAACTATTCAGATGTATTTCTTCCACCATCACTACAGGGGCCGTCTCTGACACGTCACTGCTGGTCAGTCAGTGAAACATATTTTAATAATTTCCATATCTCGACGGAAATGTGTAATTACTCGCTGTTATTTTCTCAGGGAAGTGAATGCTTTCAGTATCCGAGACATGGTGTCATTGACATCAGGCGCATATTTGCAGACGCAGTTTGGTGGGGTGAGTCATGTCATGACTTGTCTGCATGATTGTTCCATAACCCCCGGTCCCTGCAGAGAATCTCATTACGGGGGAAACGGTGGGGATTGTGTTGCTTAGTGGAGGGAGGGGGAGTGTGGATGTGTCAGCCCACGGACACCGTCAGTGATGATGTCACTGTCACTGTGTTCTCCCGCAGAGACGCAGCCCTCTGTTTGCACTGCCACACTTTTCTAATGTTGTGAGATTGTCAATGTTCCAGAGACAGAGACTAGAAGAGTCGACTTTTAGCAGAAATATTTTAGGAAATGTCACCACTACATTGTAAACAATCGACTAACGTAACAAGGCCAACTCCTTTGTGGCACAAAATAATTAATTTAAGCAAATTTTTCATGTTAAAGATGAACATACTCACTCCTCACTAGGAGCCCCCAGACAGTGTGAGTTCATTTTGATTTATGGAGAGCAAATAGTTTGGTTCTCCATGCGTGTGGGCCTCTAAAATGAACCCCCCCGACCCCCACCTCCTCGCTCTGGCGTGGTGGCCTTGTGTAAGTTTCAGCGTAAATCCAAATCACACGAGGTCACCAACTCCGACAGTCAGTTGCGAAGGGTTGAATTACGGCCTGGTCACTATAGAGAAACATTCCCAGATGGAGCTTCACTTTGAGGAGTAAACCAGAAAAGAGATACTCAATCGCTCCCAACGCTCTGAGGAGGAAGTCAGCGTGTAGCAGCGTGAATCTCTGCATCACATAGAGACCAAAACATGAACTGATTCAGCCTTTAAATACCAGGACGGAGAATACAGCGTTTTCACTGGGAGAATGAATGTGAATTGACATGTACGGGTCATAATAAAACCAGACAGAATTCCCATTTACAGCTTCTCTGCTTCACAGCACTTTTCCAATGGACTGTAAAAATATGGAACATGGCCCATGTAGACACATATTAACAATAAGTACCACTACAGAACTAGGCAACAGTCAATCATGAAATAACTTCTAAAAGAAAAGCTCTCTTAGCTGTAGTTAAATTATCACAAATGACAATAAAAAACTGAAACAATGACGGCAGAAATGTCTGATAACTTTTGTCAACCGAACCACTCCAACAGCTTCAGCTGAAATACTCCATTAAAATACATTTTAAACATCTACAAATAGTTGAAATGGGAGAGAAACTAAAATCATACTAAAATTATAAATAACTGTCCTTGCCACCGACACAACCCTGCGACCTACAACAGCTCTGCCACCCCATAAGGGACATGGCCGTCACTTTGGAAACGATGCTCTTGATGATAAATGTTGTTTTTCTATAACTGAAGATGAATAAATGTAACCACCATCTTGACTTTGTTTTAACTTTAACATCACATGTGGACATGTACAGATAATTGAAAATCAGAACTTTTTTTTATTCCAACAGTGCCATAGTCTGTGGTTCAGTGAAGTTTCATATTAGGGTTTAAAATGATTGATCTGACTTACCACTTCAACTGTCCAGAAGAGCCTCAGCGATGACATCCCATCCATGTAGAACCTTCTGGGTGGTTCACCTCCATATCTTCAACACAGCAGTAATCACTGGGAAAAGAAAATATTAAATATATAAAACAGTAAAAAAAATATTAAAACATTGAAAATTAATCTGGTAAATTCCAGTTAGTGTCATTTACCCACAATGCAGTGTGAACCCTGAAATATCCAACAGGCTTCTGAACAAAACACAAAACATACTTAAGAAAAAATAAAGTAATTCAAATGTTTTTGCATAAGATTAAAATAATGTGAAATAACATCATAACAATAAAGTCAAGTCATAGTCTGTGGCTTGATGCTTTTCAACCAAAACCAAAGTGTGTATCTGTGGTGGAAGATAACAGAAATATAAGAGATACAGTATAATAATATTCAATAAATATATAAATGATTTGTTTGTCTGTAACAGATTGTAGAAAAAAATTGCATTGTTGACATTTAGGTGAAATACACAGACATGTCTTTGCAGAACTGAGCAACTGTAGCTTCCTTAGCTCTAAAGTCCTAAGTTCTAAAGTCAGAAAGCAGCCAGGATTCTGTTATTTTATGTTTCTTACAGACAGTCACTGTAGTAATTAAGTAAAAAGTTAAAGAGTTCCTTCATTTATTCATTTTTACCTGGTTGTGGCTTGACTCAGTCCTTTCTGACATGTTGTGAGTGCTGTGCTGTCACCCAGCGTGTGTGGAGCTCAGCACTCACACCTGCGGTCAATTGAATTTGCATATTTAACGAGTCAGAGAAAAGCAGGCACTCAGTAACAAAACCTTAACCTAACTTCCAGTTCAAGTGTGTTACAGCAAGCATGTGATTGTGTTTTTGCAATTTTTTTTTTTGATGTTTGAAGGATAAACTCTGAGAAGTCAAAGCTTAAAACCACTGTGGAAACAGCATTGTTCCAGGCAATCTCAAATGTCAGATCTAATCTTATAGATGATTGTTTTTTAGGACAAAGTTGGACTTCTTCTCAGAAGAAAAGAATGCAAATACTCACTGTTTCTGACTCTCAAAACATTGGTCTACCACAGGTGCAGGCTTTCCATACCAATTAACAAGTTCTCCACCCACAAATTTTCCAGCAAAATAAACTGGGTACACATAAAAAAGGCACATTAAAAAGGGAGTGATTGTCTTTGATATTCAATGCTTTAATTGGAACCAGGCTGCAAAATTACAGAGCTCTGTTTTGACTGCTCAAGGTTTTCATCAGTCGAAGGGGATTCCTGAGTGATATCCTGAGGAACAGTAGATTTCCTTTTAGAGGAAAACCAAACGAGGCAACACGTCATTGTTTTGCATTGGCTTTGTGGTCGATCTGCATTCTTTTTTTGGTACCTGTAATAGACGCTGGGTCAAAGGTTCAAACTCCTCCTGTCTGCCACTCACACATTGGCTGCATAAGTTCAGTAACCACATCAAATATGTCAGGGCTGCGTAAACATCTGGTAATCTTTGTTTCAGCTCCTCAATAGCGCACCAAGCTATGGTCACGCTGTGTGTACTCGGTCCTCTCTGGTTACACAATTTCTGGCTGCTCCCCCCGAGGTTACGTGGACAAACCGTTTTGGATCGCGGAAGGAGTTTCCACATAATAGGTGTTGACCGAAAATTCTTTGCAGTTATGGAAATAAACACATAAAAGGAGAAAATGGTGGAGTGTCAAAGAAGAATTGAAATAACCCTAAAGCACGACCATTTAACCAGAAGAGGTTTTTTCTTTTCTTTTGTTGGAAATCTCAATGGATTGAAAGAATGTAGGGAGCAAAATCTTTCAACAGACCTTCATGTTTAAAAATTACAAATATTATAACCAATGATTTGCTTTCAGTTGCATTAAAAAAGACAGGGCTTGGACACCGGGCTGAGAAGCGCGGACCATTCTGCGACCAAAGGTGGTTACAATTATTCTTTCCGTTTGTGGTTGTATTGACTTCAGTCGATGGTATTTGGCTGGCGACTTCCTTTTGGAAGTACTTAAAAGTACACGTCACAACAATTTGAACATGAATTTGACGGTCACCACCCAGCCTCATCGCAGACCCAGCCTCTTGAACTGGCCTAGCCTTACCTACTCTGTCAAGCTGCCTTCTGCCATGTGCTGTTGCAACGCTACAACCAATTACGTCCATTCATCCATCTACATTCATAAACTGGTGCATCTGGCGCATTACTTTACATGGCCCACCTTCAAGGCTGTTCTTACCATGCTGGCGGGGAGCCATACGGGGCTGCTGGCCCAGGCTCCTTTTCCCAAGTTCCACCCAGACGCTGTGTGCGCC